GGACAAAAGTTCTGTAACACCGAACACCGTTCTCGCCTTGAACTCTGAAGACAGAGAAGAGCACAGCTTCAGTGATTCCTCTTCTTTTGTGGGAAAAAGGTATACTTTGTAGGATTAAACTCTTCCCAGATACGCTCAAATTCTTCCAGAAAAAGCCTCACATACTCTTCATCCTCCATAATCAAAACATTTTCTCTATTGTTCTGAATGGCTTGAGTGGTCCAGTTGAGGGAGCCCGTGATCAGCACCTTCTTGTCCACTATGGCAAACTTGTGATGCATGTAGCCCAGGTCCTGATCGTGTCGCACCTGGATGCCTACAAAAAGGGCAAGTCAGACTTCTCCACCGCCTCTTACAACGCTTTCGTTCAGACACGGGAGCCCCTCCTCAAGTGCAGACCGTTTCCCAGCAGCTGCCGCTCTAGTTCTGACTTGGTAGGGGAGACGGGAAGCTCGTCACCCTCGGGCAGGAGGCGGTGGCCGAGCCAGATGGTGACCAGCCGCCGCCAGCGCACAGGAGGGAAGGCCGAGGGAAGGGGGAGCGTGGTGGCCCAGGACCGGGGGGCGGTGGGGACAGCCGGTCCCGAGGGGCGGGACGGCAACACTCACACAACTTGCCTTCTGGCGCCGACAGGCGGCCCTGGAACCTGGGTGAGGTCTGCCCACCCGCACTTCTCAGGGACGCACCAACCAGCACAATCCCGGGTTACTGGTTCTGGGAGGGCCCATCACGGACCCTGCCAGAGGGGTCAGGGCAACAATCGTTCGCCGGGCTTTCCTTGCCTTCAAGCTCTCACTGGGCCCACCCCTGGAACTGGGGCACCCCTGCCAACGCCACGCACGCCAGCACCACACCCCACTGCATAAGGGGAGGATGGGCCTCAAGCAGGAAGACTGCAGGAGAAGCCAGGCCCTGGGTGCTTCGGGCGAGGGAATTCAGTGTCACCCCAAAGCCAGCCGGCTGGGGCCCCTAACTCCCAGCGTGCCCTGGGCCTTTCCACCAAAGCAGAAAGAGTTCTAACTGCTACAAAACCGAATTCTCCCTCGCTTTGCCTCCTTCACTCGCCACGGAGCCTGTAATCCTTGCCTTTTGTTTTCCTGTTTGTCTCTCTCCTACCGTTTTCAAACTCCCCTCGGGCAGGACCCGTCTGTCCATCCTCCTCTGCCTCAACCCTGGAATAATGCCTACCTCCTGGGTTATCTGCTTAGTGGACGAGACCATAAGAAATGTGTGATTTAAGAGAACAGTTTAAAATAGGCTGCTTTGCAACAGAGTCACCAGACTTCACAAATAAAAATACAGGATGTCCAAAGTAAGATGTGATTTCAGATAAACAACAAATACTGTTTTTATTAAAAAAAAAAAAAAAAAAAAAAAAAGGTTTTTTTTTTTTAACGTTTCGAGAGACAGTGCAAGCAGGGGCAGGGGAGGGACAGAGAGAGAGGGAGACACAGAATCCAAAGCAGGCTCCAGGCTCTGAGCTGTCAGCACAGTGCTGGACATGAGGCTCGAACTCACGAACCGTGAGATCATGACCTGGGCCAGAGTCAGACGCTTAACCGACTGAGCCACCCAGGTGCCCCTACAGATAGTTTTTTAAAGTAAGCGTGTCCCATGCAATATTTGGGACATACACTAAAAAGCATTCGTTGCTTATCTGAACTTCAAATTTACCTGGACATCCTATATTTTGCCAGCAACCCTGCCTTGTAACCTTCCTATCCCAGGGGACCCGAACACCGCTTCTCTAACCAACCCGCCAGCAACTCCTGTTAGCTCTACCTTCAGAACAGATCTTAAGTCCCACATGCAAAACACACCGTTATACTGAGGCTGAGGAGGAAATACAGACCTCACGGGTAAGCCCAGAATCTGAATTTAGACCCTTTGCAGAATTATTCATACTTCCCGCTTCAACTGTCCCCATCCCAGTGCAAGAGAAAGGCCAGCCAGAGGTATCCGTCTTACCTGTCCTCCTGCAGCCAGAGAAACAAATTAACTGCTCACCATCTAAACATTTTAGCTCCACGTTTTTTAGTATATCATCTTTATTCATTTCAAAAGCCCCAGCATAAAATTCACTAGTGGATTTAAGGTGAAATGACTTTTCCTCCTTTAGCCCCTCAGTCCCGAAGCCCCACCTTCGCCATCTTGGCACACCTGCTCCCATGCACACGGTCACTGAGAGTCCGCTAGCGGCGGGCCTTGCAGGTTTGTTTTTACAGTTCGCCCTTGATTTCCTGAGTGCTGCCTGGCTAAGCCATTGTCATTTCAGTCTGCAACGTCAAAAACTCAGCTGGTGGGGCTACATCCCCTGCCTCTACCCGGTACAGGCTTTCCCCACAGCCCCCCAAGGCCAACGCCAGTCATCAGAAACTGGGAATCACAGGAGCTACGTCCGCTTTCCCCGGTGTCGCTGGGCAGGCCCCCAGCCTCTGAGAATCCCCCAGATCTTCTCCACTAGCGGGGAACACACATCCTGCTCACTCCTCCGGGCTCACACTCAGGTATCCAGCGTTAACACCTCCCTGCACAGAAGTGCACCCACTGGGTGAAGGCAGGTGCTCTTTACAGACGGCCCTGGAGTCTCTCCAGGCTAAAACCATCCTGACCTCACAAGGCCACCAGCGGACATATATGGGGTCTCACCTATACTCAGACCCCCCACCAAGTTTCTGCTTTTGACATTCTCCCCCAATGCCTAAGGCCCCCGGGGTCACATCATTCGCCAGGCTGGGGGCCTGATGACCCTCCCCAGAGGTTCTCCACGGACCTGAGTCCCAAGCCGGGACTCCCAGCCTCTCTGGCGCGGCCTACCTGCCTTGCGGAGCAGGCCGATCTGCGAACCGTTGAGGGCCATGTAGTCGCAGTCGGTGATGACCCGGACGCGCACCCCGCGCTGGTGAAGCAGCTGCACCGCGCGCCCCAATTGCGGGCTGGAGAAGGCAAAGAGGCAGAGCTCGAGGCTGGCGCGGGCGGCCAACAGGGCGCTCAGCAGGCGGCTGAGCGAGCTCTCGCCGTGGGGCAGGCTGCACTGGCAGCCCGCTGGCGGCCCCGACGGCCCCTCGCTCGGGGCCTGCAGCAGAGCCTCGGTGCAGGTCACCTGCGACGGGAAGAAGAGCACCTCGCGCCGCAGAGAGCTCCGCCACCCTCGCCGTCGCCAGGCCCGCAGCCAGCGCAGCACAGAGGGCAGCGCCTCCAGAGTCAGCGCGAGACCCACGGTCGCCACAGCCGCCACCCGCCAACGTAACCGCTCCATGCAGCCTCGACCTGCCCCGCTGCCCACGGCGCCTGAGCGCTCGCCCCCGGCCACGTGCGCCCGCACCTCTCCACCCACTGCGCCTGCGCACCTCTAGCCACGTGCACTCAGCGCCCCCCCCCCCCCCACCTCCACTGCCCATCACGCCTGCACCGCGGCTGGCCACGTGCGCCCGACCCCCTCCCCCATACACACCACCCACTACGCCTGTGCGCCCCGGCCCTGTACAGCCACCCCCGGCCAACCGCGCCTGCGCAACCCCAGGCCGTGCGACCGCCCTCCAGCCACGGCCCACTGTGCCTGTGCACCCGCAGGCCCCGTGCGCCCCACCCCCCCCAATGCCCCCCTCCCACACGTCCCACCACGCCTGTGCACGCGCAGCCTGGCTGCACACCGCCTCTCTGGGCTTATTCGCGGCCCCACCGCGTCTGCGCGCCCTCTGGCCAAGTGCACCGGGCCGCGCCCGCCTAGCCCTGTGGAAGTGCATGCGCCCCGCAGGCGCCCCGATACCACCCGCTCCCCGCAGAGCCTGCAACAATCCAGGTCCTCCTCCCTTTGAGGGGCAGTAGAGCAGCCGCGACCGCTCAGCTCAAACCTTTCCTTTTGCTTTAGGGGCGCGGCTAGGCAGGGCTGGGAGAAGGGTCTGGAAACACACTGAGAGTGTCAAATAAGGAATGCTTAAGCTGGTGGCAGGGTTTGAACTCAAAGTGTCAGAGACAGTGGTGTGATGGGGATGGCCCCAAAGCCAGTCTTAAGCCCCTTGTTTCTACAGAATTTCCCAATATAAACTTGTTATTTGGAGATGCCTGTTCGTTCTGCTTTAAGCATTGAAAGGGCGGGCCTACGCCAGCCCAGCCGACTCCATCTTGTTCTGTGTCCTTCACCTTGACCACACCTCCTCCCCTTGAGTAACCCCCCCTCACCTGCCTAACAGGACTCGGACCCTTCCCCAGGACCCTTCCCCAGCCAATCGGCTGAGGCCATAGCCATTACCTCACCAACTGCCCCCAGGCCCCAATAAAACCTTTGTCCTTTTGAAACTCGCTCTCTTTCCCTGGTATCTCACCGCTGCGTCAGTGCAGGTAGGGGATTGAGCTCGAGCTAGCTCGAATAAAGGCTCTTTGCTTTTGCATCGGACTCGGCTCCCTAGTGGTCTTTGGGGATCACGAATTCTGGGCATAACAGCATAAGCTTGGTGAAAACGTAAGAAGGCCTCGGTCCTGTCTTAGCAAGCACTGGACCCACTGTATCACTTAGGAGGGGCTGTTACTTTCACAGGGAGAGAAGAGAGAGAAGGGCTAAGTTTTCTTTTTTTCTATTTTTTCTTTCTTGAATCCTGGTCAGGAATTTCCACGGTTAATTTAAGTCTGTCTATGGTCTTTGAAAGGAAATAACTCCACAGTCTCCTCCTTGTAACCAGCTGATGGTCTTCATGACTTCCATCCATTAAAAAACAGGAAAGGAGCTGATCTAAGTAACTTTGGGAAACCACGTTTTAACTGGAAACCACAAGGCTAAACACAACACCAGCTGCCCGTCAACACTGTACTCTGGGTGATACCTTTATTTCCCAAGGCGGGGAACTGCATACACGCGCACTGGGGTTGAGTGCATTAGTCGTCGGTTGGCGGAATAGTGGGAGCCAGGGTTCTCTCTGTTGGATGGGGTAAGAGATAAGCACCGGAGAAGGCTTGAATGATCCCTCTGGTACTGGATTGGGGTCAGAGACACCACAGTGAACTCATGGTTAGCTTAGTATTTATAGTAAAATACGTACTATGTCAGTTTTGACATACCTCACATACCTCAGTCCCCCAAGAGGCCCAGAAGCAGTGACACCCCGGCAATAATGAGCATGCTAGGTCCCAGATCTTAGTTTCCAAACACCATTCTCCTTGAAGAAATAACAGATTCTGGGGGTTGGGCACGGAGACTGTAGATGTATTTTCGGCATCTTGTAGTACCAGAAATTGAACATGTGGACATGGCAGCAGGAACAAAAGACACAGGAGTAGCCTAAAAGAGACTCCAGTGGCCAAAACTGGAGCAAATGGAGAAACAAAATAAATACTTGCAGTAGTTTTTATAACCCAAGTGCAAGATAAATATACATGACTCTATACTGCTATAAATAAATGACTGAATAAAGAAACGAGAGAAGACACATGTCTTCCTTGCAGAAGAATTCCAAATAATATATGTAACTACTCCTTGCTACGGGAGGGAGAACTAAATCCCTTTGAAAGTGGGGAGAAACCTTGTAAACACCACCTTAACCAAGTGATAGTGACCATCACCAGAGATGTGTGAATGTTACATACCCCGGATATCATGAGAAGGGCACCTCACTTCTGCGGTGGTTGTTCCCAAAGCTCATGCACCCAGTTCTATCATGAGGAGGAAACGTCAGAAATCCAGATGGAAGGACTTGCTATCCCATTCCACAGGATAACTGGCCACTATTTTTCCAGACTGCCAAGGTCATGAAGAGAAGGGAACCGCTTAGAGACTGTAACAGACCAGAAGAGACTGGGGGGAGACTTGACAACTAGATGCAACGTGGTGCCCTGAACTGGATCCTGAAAGAGAAAGATAGTGTAACTGGGAAAAGGGCTGAAATGTGAAAAAGTCTGGAGCTTAATTAATAGTCACGTATCAGTGTCCGTTTCTTCACTTTGACAAATGCATGATAGGGATGTAAGATGCTAATAATAACGGAAACTAAACTGTCTGTGCTATCTTTGAAACGTCAGTAAATCTAAAATTATTCCAAATTAAAACTTATTTTAAATGCTGAACGTTCACCTTCCGTATGACCCAGCTATACTGCTCCTAAATATAACCCAAGAGCAATGAAAGCACACGAAGACTTGTACACAAATGTCTGCAGATTTATTTGTAATAACCCAAACCTGGACATAATACAAACATCCATCAACAGAAAAATAGCCGAACCCTCGCCTGTCCATACGATGGAATACTATTTCACAATAAGAAGAAACAAACTGCTGATATATATGGATAAATTATGCTGAGTGAAAAAAGATAGACAAAAGAAAGTATATTCTGTGTGGTTGCACCAACATGCAATTCTAGGAAATGCAAACTAGAGTGAAAGTAAATCAGTGGTTGCCTAGAGATGTGGGAAGGGAAGAAAGAGTATAAAGAAACATACAATGAGATGTTCACTATCTTGATGGCGTTAATGTGCATACGCATATGTCAAAACCTGTCAGGGTGTATGGTTTAAATGAGTATAAATTATTGTATGTCAGCCATACTTCTTAAAAGTGCCTTTTTTAATTTACAAATAGAGCCCCACAGTGTAATTCTAGCTCCCCTACGTCACAGCTGCGTGACCTAGGGCGAATCGCTTCATTCTTTGAGACTCACTTTCTTCACCTGAAAAGACAGTAAAGAATGAGAAGAAGGTGAGCACAGTCCTATATAAAGAGGTAGTCAATTCCTCTCTGTAAAAACAACCGACCAACCAACCAACCAACCAACCAAATATGCGCGTGCATGCGTGTGCGTGTGTATTAGGGAAAATGGTCAATAACAACCGCGTCAGGGTGCTGGAAATCCACCAAAGGCAGACAATAAAATGAGAGGCATCATTTTTTTTAAAACTGCTGGAGGGGCGCCTGGGTGGCGCAGTCGGTTAAGCGTCCGACTTCAGCCAGGTCACGATCTCGCGTCCGTGAGTTCGAGCCCCGCGTCAGGCTCTGGGCTGATGGCTCAGAGCCTGGAGCCTGTTTCCGATTCTGTGTCTCCCTCTCTCTCTGCTCCTCCCCCGTTCATGCTCTGTCTCTCTCTGTCCCAAAAATAAATAAACATTGAAAAAAAAATTAAAAAAAAAACAAAAACAAAAAAACTGCTGGAGGCTGCTCCCAGCCGTTCACCCTCCCAGCTCAGTTGGCAAAAATGGTGGCCTTACCAATGTGGGACCGGCTGCAAAACCCTAAAATCTAGGTTTTTACTTTTGCTGGCTAAAAGTGGTGGGTTCAGTTGGGAAATGAATGACAAACACCTGCAGCCTTACCAACCCAAGCTTCTGGTCCAAGGTGAGGTAAGCCGCAGACCAGCCAGAAAATAGGATAGAAAGGGCCCCAAAGTGAGAAAACCATAGAAAAGCTGACCTACACTCTCCACACATCCTTGGTGAACTGGGGAGCTATGCATGAATGGGAGAGACCCAGGAGAGGCCAGGGAAGAGCGAAAGCCAATGGAGGCTTGAAAGGGTTCCCAACCCACAAACACATCGATCAGCAGAGGACAGGATTCTCACAGGCTTAAAATATTTGGGTACAACCTCTGCCTAAAAACATTGGCTGACTACTACATTAGGAAGACACACCAGTGACCTCTAGACATAAATAAAAATAAGGATTAAAAAAAACATTGGGGCACCTGGGTGGCTCAGTAGGTTAAGCATCTGACTTCAGCTCAGGTCATGATCTCGAAGTCCATGAGTTCGAGCCCCGCGTCGGGCTCTGTGCTGACAGCTCAGAGCCTGGAGCCTGCTTCATGTTCTGTGTTTCCCTCTCTCTCTCTCTCTCTCTGCCCCTCCCCTGCCTATGCTGTCTCTCTCTGTCTCTCAAAAATAAATATTAAAAAAAACAACAACAAACTGAGCAGACACGCCAGCGTCACACTACAGAGGGAGAGGTTCTACAGTTTAAGTCCAGGCACGTTTCCAAAGAAAAACAACCTTAGAAAAATGTAATAGAATGTAATAGAATTGCTATACTATATTATCTAAAATGTCAGTTTTCAACGAAAACATAATAGACATGGGAAGCAGCAGGAAAGTGTGACCAACATACAGGGAAACCAGCAGCCAATAGAAATTGACTTTGAGTGGACCCAGATGTTGGAATTAGTAGAAAAACACTTCAAAGCAATTCTTACAGAAATGTTCAAAGAATTAAAGGAAAATATAATGATAATGAGTCCACAGATACTCCTTAGAGAAACACAAATTATTTTTTAAAGTCTATGCAAGGGTTGTCTGGGTGGCTCAGTCGGTTCAGCGTCCGACTTCAGCTCAGGTCATGGTCTCATGGCTCGTGAGTTCAAGTCCTGTTTCGGGCTCTGTGCTGACAGCTCAGAGCCTGGATCCTGTTTCAGACTCTGTGTCTCCTTCTCTCTCTCTGACCCTCCCCCGTTCATGCTCTGTCTCTCTCTCTCTGTCTCAAAAATAAATAAACATTAAAATAAATAAAGTCTATGCAAACTGTCAATTAGGTTCAATTGTAACTGCCCACTGTGGTTGGAATATTAACAATGGGAAAGGCTACGCATCTGTTGGGGCAGAGGGTATATGGGAAATCTCTGTACCTTTCCCTCAATTTTGCTGTGAACCTAAAACTGTTCTTATGAAAAGAAGTCATTTACATCATGCACAAAAATAAACTGAAAATGAATTTTTAAAATTTTATTTTTAAGTAATCTCTACACCCAACATGGGGCTTGAACTCACAACCCTGAGTCAAGAGTTGCATGCTCTTCTGACTGAGCCAGCCATGCACCCATAAACTCAAAATATATTAAAAACCTAAATGTGAGGGTTACCTGGGTGGCTCAGTCACTTAAGTGTCCAACTCTTGGTTTTGGCTCAGGTCATGATCTCATGGTTTCAGGAGTTCAAGCCCCATGTCAGGCTCTGCAGTGTGGAGCTTGCTTGGGATTCTCTCTCTCCCTCTCTCTCTGCCTCATCTGCTCATGTTCTGTGTCTCTCAAAATAAATTTAAAAAATTAAAACAAAAATAAAGATGCATATTGTAATCCTTGGAGCACCCACACACACACACACACACACACACACACACACACACACACCTTAAAAAACTAGGTTTACAAATCCAAAATTAAAATTATGTTCTAAAACATAGTCATTCAACAAAAAATAAACACGTTAAAAAGAGGAACAAAAAGACATGAGACACATTATAAATATAATATGCCACTGAATTCTACTCTCAAAAATAGTTTAAATGGCAAATTCTAGGTTATATATATTACCACAATATAAACATTTTTAAGTCTTAAATGTTTTCTATATGTCACATAGAAACATATAAATATATAGAAAATGGACATAAGAGATACAGAAAATAGCAAAATGGGGGCTCCTGGGTGGCTCAGTCAGTTGAGTGACTCTTGATTTTGGCTCAGGTCATGATCCCAGGGTCGTGGGATTGAGTCCCCAGTCGGGCTCCGTGCTGAACATTGAACCAGCTTAATATTCTCCCTCCCTCCCTCTGCTCCTCTTCCCCACTCACTCACTGTCTCTAAAATTAAATAAAAGTAGCAAAATGGCACAGGTAAATCTAACCACACCGACGATTACATTAAATGCAGGTAGACTGAGAGCTCCAAATCAAAAAACAGAGATTGTCAGACAGGCTAAAAAGGCAAGATCAAATATATGCTGCCTTTAAGAGAGACACTGTAGATTCAAAGACACAAGTGGTTTGAAAATAAGATGGAAAAAGATACACCACGCAAACGGCAACCGTAAGAGAGGTGGACTTGCCATATCGATATCAGAGAAAATAGGCTTTAAGACAAAAAATAATATTCAAAGTAAAAAGTTATGTTACTAACTTTGGCAGGATTTAAAAAGAGGTGTTAAATACCACTAGTATTTAATGGGACATTCTTAAGAATTACAAATGGAGGAACGCCTGGGTGGTCCAGTCCATTAAGCGTCCAACCCTTGATTTCGGCTCAAGTCATGATCTCACGGTACAAGAGATGGACCCCCTGTCCGGCTCTGCCCTGCTTGGGATTCTCTCTCTCCCTCTGTCTCTCTGCACCACCCTCCCTTGTGCATGGTCTCTCAAAATGAACACATAAACCTTAAAGAAAAAGAATTTCAAATGGAGGAATTTAGGAAAGATGCTTAAGTCATTGCCCAATACTCTGAACAAATGCTCCAGATGGTCTGTTCTTGGAAAAGTGTAAGTATTGCAACCCTTCAAGCACAAAGGGAAAGCTCAAGACCCAGAATGTTTTCTCTCTCCCAGTTAGTGCAAAAAAGCCACAAAAGCACAAAACCAGACTCAGTCCCCAAGGCAGGAGTCGAACTAGGTCACTACAGATTAATCTGCCCACCATGTCTTCTGCACCCTCACCTCTGATGGCCATCAGTCTTCAAGAGCTGCACATTCTCAGGTGAAAAAGGCCACAACTGCCCATAAAAACCAATCAATATATGGCCCTACCTGCCCATTCTTGTCAATAAAAGCTTCATTGTATGTTGGAAATTTAGATCATACATTCCCATAAAACGAAACCTGACACTTACGTTGGGTTCTACCCGCCAAGGGAAGTCAGTCAGTAGCCTGGCAGACAACTGGCAAAATCCTCTTTAGAACATGAGAGCAAGGTTTCCAGAGAATGTCATTCCCCAGAAAAAGAGAAACATCTGTACCCAAAGATAAGGGGCACAGTGGGAAGTCATCTTTCCCCCCCACACTTACCCTTTACCCGTGTGAGCCTGGAGTTCCCTCCCAGTCTGAGAAGATGACCAAGACCTACAGCTGCCAGTTTAAGGGTTCCAGGTCACCTGGGTATGCTTCCCACCATCTTCCTTTCAAATGGATTTGTCTTTAAATATTTTTAATAGACGAACTATTCCCCAAAGTTGAACAAAATGTTAAGCACACACCTGTAGACATTCAAGAGATGTCTTTGGAATAAATGAGTGTTACCTCGTCTCCATGATCAACTCCAAACACTAACTTTGAGAAGACCATCCAAAATCACTAAAGCAGCTTAAACTTCCATACCACAGAGAATTGGCCACTCACTGGTGTCATTGGTTTTCTTTTTTAATTGTGTTAAAATGCACATAACATTAAATTTACCATCTCAACTATTTTTTACATGTACAGTTCAGTGGTATTAAAGATATTCACACTGATGGAGCACGTGCTGGCTCAGTTGATAGAGCATGCGACTCTTGATCTTGGGTTTTGAGTTTGAACCCCATGCTGTATGTAGAGATAACTTAAAAATAAAATCTTAAGGGGCGCCTGGGTGGCTCAGTTGGTTAAGCACCCAACTCTTGGTTATGGCTCAGGTCATGATCGCACGGTTCGTGAGTTCGAGCCCTGTGTGGGGCGCTGTGCTGACAGCATGGAACCTGCTGGGATTCTCTCTCTCCCCCTCCCCCCCGCCTCTGCCACTCCCTCTCTCCTCTCTGCCTCTCTGCCACCCCTGGCAACCATCATTCTACTTTCTGTCTCTATGATTTTGACTACTCTAAGTATGATCTATAATTGGAATCATAGAGTGTCTTTTTGTGATTTATTTATTGCATTTAGCATAATGTCCTTAAGGTTCATCCATGTTGTAGCATATTACAGGATTTTCTTCCTTTTTAAGGCCAAATAATATTCCATTGTATGGATATGCTGCATTTTGCTTATCCATTCATCAGTCGATGGACAGTTCAACTGCTTCCATGTTTCAGCTGTTACAAATAATGCTGCTATGAAGATGGGTCACAAATATCTCTTCAACACCCTGCTTTCCAATCTTTTGGGTACATACCCATAAGTGGAATTGCTGGGTCATATGGTAATTCTATTTTTAATTTTTTGAGGAATCGCCATACTGTTTTCTACAGTGGCTGAGCCATTTTATATTCCCTCCAACAATGCTCAAGTGTTCCAATTCTCCCACACCCTCACTAACACTTGTTTCCTGTCCCCACCACTCCCTCCCCACCCCCCCACCCCCCCGAGTAACCACCTTCATATATCTTCTTCAGTAGAATGCCTATCCAAGTCATTTGCCCATTTTCTGAATTGGGTTGTTTCATTGTTAAATTTTAGGAGTTCTCTATATATTCTGGATATTAATCCCTTAGTATGATTTGCAAGTATTTTCTCCCATTCTGTGGCTTGCCTTTTTTACTCTGTGGATAGTGTCTTTTGATGTAGAAAAGTTTTAAATTCTTATGAAGCCAATTTGTCTATTTTTTCTTTTGTTACCTGTACCTTTGGTGTCATTTCCAAGAAATCACTGCCAAATTCAAAATCAAGAAGCTTTTGCCCTGTGTTTTCTTCTAAGAGTTTTGCCATCTTAACTCTTACATGTAGGTCCTGGTTTCATTTTGAGTTACTTTTTGGGGGTTAATTTCTACATATGGTGTTAGGTAAGGGCCTAATTTTGTTCTTTTGCATGTGGACATTCAGTTTCCCCAGAACCATTTGTTGAATAGACCATGCTCTCCCCCATTGAATGGTCTTGGCACACTTGTCAAAAATGATTTGTTCATATTTGTGAGGATTTTTTTTTTCTGGGCTCTCTAATCTATTCCACTGGTCTATATGTCTGTCTTCATGCCAATACCACGCTTTTTATTATGTATCTTCAAAGTAAGTGTTGAAATCAGAAAGTGTGAGTCCTCCAGATCTGTTCTTTTTTCAGGATTGTTTAGGCTGTTTGGATGAGGTTCCATATGAATTTTTTGATGGGTTTTCCTATTTTTGCAAAAAATTATTTTTTGGGATTTTGATATTGGATTGCATTGGATCTGCAGATCGCTTTGGATAATATTGACATTTTAACAATATTAAGTCTTCCAATCTGTGAACATAGAATGTGTTTCCACTTATTTTTTTACTTTTTTTTTTTTAATTTATTTTTGAGAGACAGAGAGAGAGCGTGAGCTAGTGGAGGGAGGTGGCAGAGAGAGAGGGAGACACAGAATCCAAAGCAGGCTCCAGGTTCTCAGCTGTTAGCACAGAGCCCGACGCAGGGCTCGAACTCATGAACGGGGAGATCATGACCTGAGCCGAAGTCAGATGCTCAACTGACTGAACCACCCAGGCATCCCTCTATTTATTTATGTCTTCTTTAATTTCTTTCAGCAATTGTTTTTTTTTCCCCCAATTGTTTTGTAGTTTTCATTGTACAAGTTGTCACCTCCTTGGTTAATTCTTATTTTATTCTTTTTGATGTTATAAGTGAAATTGTTTTATAATTTCATTTTCAGATTGTTCATCATGTATAGAAATGCATCTGTTTTCTTTGTGTTGATTTTGTATTGTACAACTTTGCTGAATTCCTGTATTAGATCTAATGTCTTTTGTGTGGTGTCTTTAGGGTTTTCTATATGTAAGGAGCATCTCATCTGCAAACAGAAATAATTTTACTACTTCCATTCCAATTTAGATGCCTTTTCTTTTTCTTGTTTAATTGCTCTGGCTAAAACTTCCAGTCCTGTGTTGAATAGAAGTGATGAAAGTGGCCAACCTTACCTTGGTCCTGATCTTCGAGGAAAACCTTTGTCTTTCACAACTGAGTACTATGTTTGCCACGGGTTTTTCATATATGACTTTTATTATACTTATAATAATTATATATTTTTATATTGATTACATATATTTTTATCATGAAAGAGTGTTGAATTTTGTCAAATGCTTTTTCTGCATTGAGATGACATGTGGTTTTTCCCTTTCCTTTTACTAACATGGTATATTACACTGATAGTCTTATGTTGGACCATCCTTGCATCCCAGAAATAAATCCCATTTGGCCATGATGTATGGACCTTTTACTATGCTATTTGTTAGTATCTTGTTGAGGATTTTTGCATCAATGTTTATAAAGGATATTGGTCTGTAGTTTTCTTTATAGTGCCTTTTCTGGCTTTAGTATCAGGATTATGCTGGCTCATGGAATGTGTTAGGAAGTGTTCTTTCCTCTTCTTTTTTTTTTTTTGAAAGTTAGTTATTTCAATGTCTGGTAGAAGTCACTAGTAAAGCCATTGACTTCAGGAGTTTTCTTTCATGGGAGATTTTTTTTTAAATATTTTTTTATGTTTATTTTTATTTTTTGAGAGAGTGAGAGAGAGGGGGAGCACAAGTGGGGGAGGGGCAGAGAGGGAGACACAGAATCGGAAGCAGGCTCCAGGCTCTGAGCTGTCAGCACAGAGCCCAATGTGGGGCGTGAACCCATGGAATGAGAGATCACGACCTGAGCTAAAGTGGGACGCTCAATCAACTGAGCCACCCAGGCACCCCAATACTAACTTTTACATTATTAGGTGTGCTTAAGTCATGCAGGAAACAGAGTACAGTTAACATACCATTGCTACAATATTAGTTTTTACAATTGCTCATGATCTACCTTTATTGAGATCTTTATTTCTCCATATGGCTTTGAGGTACTGATGGTGTCTTTCACTTCACCTTGCAGAACTCCTGTGGGCATTTCTTGTAGGGCAGTTCTAGTGATCACAAACTGCCTCCTCTTTTATCCAGGAATGTCTTGATTTCTCCCCCACTTTTGGACAGTTTTGCTGGATAGGACTATTGGTTGACAGAGGGGTTTGTTTGTTTGTTTGTTTGAGCACTTTGACTATATTGGCCCACTGTCTTCTGGCCTCCAACGTTTCTGATGAGAAATCTGTATACATTCCCATTGAAGATCCCCATATGTGATGATTTGCTTCTCTCTTGCTGCTTTCAAGATCTGCTCTTTGTCTTTCGGAAGTTTGATTAGAATGTGTCTCAGTGTGGCTCTGGGTTCATCTTAGTTGGGAGATTCTGAGCTTCTTATATATTTATGTTCCTATCTTTCACCAAATTTGGTTAGTTTTTAGCCATTCTTTTATTTTTTTTTTTTTTATTTTTTTTTATTTTAGAGGGAGAACGTGCAAGCAGAGGTGGGGGGCAGGAGAGAGAATCTCAAGCAGGCTCCATGCTCAGCTCGGAGACCAACACAGGGCTCAATCCCACGACTCTTTGATCATGACCTGAGCCAAAATCAAGAGTTTGACGCTCAACTGACTGAGACACCCAGGCACTCCTAGCCATTCTTTGAATGTTCTCTGCCCCTTTGCCCTCTGGGACTCCCACAATGTGCATGTTGACCCTTTTGATAGTGTCCATAGTTCTCTTAGGTTCTGTCCACTTTTCTTCAATTTTTCTCTGTTCCTTAGCCTCACTGATGTCCACTGTTCTATCTTCAAGTTCATGGATTCTTTCTTCTGCCCGCTCAAGTTGGCCTTGGAGGCACTCTCGTGAATTCTTCACTGCAGTTGTAGTTTTCAGCTCTGGAACTCTGGTTTTTTTAGGTTTTCTGTTTCTTTATAGTTCCATTTTGCTCATACATTTTTATTTTTTTTTTTGGCTTTCTTCACATCTTCCTTTAGTTGAGCATCTTGAGAATTGTTTTAAAGACTTTGTTTAGTATATCTGCCATTAAAAGTCTTTCCCAGGGACCAGTTCTGTTGTTTTCCTTTGGATGGGACATTCTTTCCTATTTATTTGTATGCTTTGTGATTTTTGGTTGAACGCTGGACATTTAAATCTAATCATGTGATAAGTGAAAATCAGATACTTCCCTCTTCCCCAAGGTTTACTGCTTTTTGTCTTCTATTTCTATCATTGTAAACTCTTTGCCAAGGATCAGACTGAGGTATAAACTTCTACTTTTCTCAGGTCTTTCTGAGCCTTTCCTTGGGCATGCACAGTTTCTAATTTCCCCTGTATATGCAGTTGTTTCTAAACATCCTATTTTATCATCTGGCTCCTGAAAGGGGAAACACACACACAAACTGAAGCGGGGGCAGGGGCATCAGACCATTAAGTCCTCTGGCAGCCAGGCTCTTTGCACCTGTGATCTGAAGCAGCAATGAGTGATCAGAGCACAGATTCTCCAAGGTTGTAGTTTAGGGTCCTTTTTACTCACCATAGCTCCCCTATGGTGTGTGCAGGCTGCTCCAGGAACACCTGCACACCTATGTGGCTAGGGTTGGGGGATGGTAGTGCTTCTGTGCTACGAGCTGAAATTGATCAAAACTGACCACAATGTCCAGTCCAAGTCTTCTAGAATTTGCAAGTCTTTAACAGACTCCAGAGTTCCAAAATGGTTCTATCAACACAGGTTTGATTTTAGCCATGATATTTTCTGTGACTGATCCCAAGAAAATTCTAGGTATCAAACCAACAAAACCACGTACTCAACAGTTTAAAAAAATACATCTTTATTGTGTTTCAGTGTTCTTGCACGATAGATACCTAGCCATATAAACTTAGTCTCCATGTTAAATATAAATTAAGCAAAGAACTATAAACAAATCAGCAAAACTGCTGGAAAATCCCTCCAAGCCATGAATCCTTATTAAAGGTGCACACTGGCATGAGAAAATGTTCTTAAATCACCATATTCTGAAAATTGTTACCTGCTGCCAAATGTAAATGTTTAAAGAAGCAATCAATAAAGGGCAAAGTGATATGGGAGAGAACTGTGGTGGGTTCCTCAACTCCACATCCAGTGAGTCAGGCAAGACAAATGGCTCCATCTGACATTTCAGCAAAGTATCATCTTTGTGTAAAAACAAAAGATCAGGGCCTGTCCTCAAGCTATAGGGAAATGCCAAAGCAACCACCCAAGAGCATGGCCAGAAGCCTTGGAAGTTACATGATTCCAGAACATGAACCCCAGAGGGCCCAAAGATGAGGAAAACATCCATTCCACCCCAAAAGCCATTCCTAGAGCTCAAAACCAGATCACTAACAATGACTGAGGATCGGCACAGACCCTGAAAAGTCACAACTGTAGCAAAACATACACGAAGACATATAAAACCTGGAAAAGTCTTGGGTTTCAGAACAGAAAGGTTCAAACATTAACCTTAAGAGAGGTTTTTTTACTGTGGCCAAAATACCCAAGTTGGGACTGGCCTCACGTGTTTTCCCTATAAATTCTGAGATCGAAATCCTTGAGAGACAGGAGATGCACATTGTCTTTGGTCATCTCTCACAGAGGTGCACACACACAGGGGACCTAGTGTCCCAAGTGTCTCTGTGCCCCCTTCAGAGCTGGAGCAATCCACCTGGCTTGTGGCATGGTAATGAAAACTACACCAGGCCCAAATCCCACAGAGAGGGCAAAGTTCAGCCCCAACAGTTTCCATTCCTTACCAGGAAACAGGAGTCGTCTGTGACTGCCCTCCGAGACCCGTCTCTGAGCTCAGCGGCGAAGATGGCAATCGCCGTTTTTCAGGTGAACGTGGGCTCAGATTCCCACGGCGGGGTCAATTACGAGGCTCTGAGGCCGTGGGGCTGCGGACGGTGGACATGAGGTGCGATTTGTAGGTTTTGCTCAGACCCGTCATCCAGAACTTGAGCAGCTTGACATTGTCCTCCTCGGATGCTCCAAGGATACTGAGGAGCTTTTGCGTGTCCTCTTTGGGCCGACTGTCCACCTTGGTGAATTTAAAGAGGACCTTCACTTTGCTGAAGAAAATCAAACACAGAGCGCTCAGACACCACAGCATAATCGCACCAGGGCTCTGGGCTGAGGCTGGACGGCTTCAGGACCAGCCAGAACCCTGCAGGCGCCTGCACACCCCAGGACCTCTCGCCTGCCCCGCACTTCCGCCCTGGGTCACATGGCTGGGGCCTCAGGATGGGGGAAAACGCACATTTTCTTTAAATTCATTAAAGGAGTTCAGTGCTCCCAAGCTTCATTATATTATTAAATCAGGACAAGGTCTAATTGAATTTGACAGAAAATTACTAAGGAAAAATTACTAACGGAATAACTAGTTAGCTTCAACAGAAAGGGAACGTCTGTTATCTGGCTTTCAGATTTTTAAAGTTAATTAAGCAGCAAAAATAACTGCTTCTCTTGGAGGCACGTGTCACTCCCATATCACAGAGGACCTGCATGGGGACGAGGAGCGCTGACCCTGCTCGAGGCCACCCAGCTAACGGACTAAATGGCGAAGATGCTATCTGAACCCACGCTGTTAACTCCTATTCTACCCCATTTCTCACAGAGGCCACGGCTTCTTCTTCTGGAAACAGCTTCTGGCTCTCGCCAGCAGAATATAACTGCCGCTGGCTGCCAGCCCGCCCCCGGGGAAAGCCAACTCTGGGGGCCGACAGGGCGTGTGCTCACTTCATCCACTCCTCCTTGAGGCAGACGAGGCACTGGTCCACCACACCCACAGACAGATTCTGGTTGCTCAAAGCAGCTTCCATCTTGTTCAGGATGGTGGGGCCAACTGGGAACAAGGGCGGGGCCGTCAGCGCGATGGGGAGTGAGAGGCAGCCTCACCCTCCTTCCCGCTCCCCCTGCGAAAGGAAGCCCTGCTCAGCAGCGCCCACCTCGGTCCGCGGCTACGGGACTTCCACTGGTCACCACGAACTCATACTTGCTGAGGGACTGGTCATCCTCGCACCCGACCGGGTGGAGGCTGGAGCGAGGGGCTGTGTGGGCCTCCACGACCACAGCAAATTCTGCAGCGACACAAAACGCACCGCTCGGGGAACCTGCCTCCCGCCGCCACTATGAATCATCTAGGATCACAGAGCAGAAACACCTCCCCGGACTAACGCTTGGGCATCAAAAGCCTTTTCTAGTGTACTTGTGAATACAGGTTAAGCATTAACTCTCGCCTCAGCGAACGCATTATGTTACAGTCACTACTGATTACATACCTCAGTTCAGCTAACGCCAAACAGCCCTTGTGGCAGGGTCCCGCTGTTAGCCCCATTTTATGACAGGGGAACAAAGCGGTTTGGCTCAAGGTCATACAGTTAGTAGTGGTGAAGAAATTCAAGCCCATCTCTGACACCAGGAACCCGTGTTCCAAAAACAGGTGCCGTCTGAGGGACTCAGGACCCAGCCCGGGTGCTGACTGCAGCGGCAGCTCAGGACTGCTGGGCGCCAGAAGCTCCGCCCGTCAACCTCCTGGCCACCTTGCATCGGTGTGCTCGGGTGCTCAGAGAAGCCCCTGGCTTGCCTGGGGAGGCTGGGATTTACACCCACGCCGACTGCTAAAGTCCCCAAACCAAAAGACGAGGACGCTGACTAGATTGTTGGCTCTGCCCGGAGGAGGGAACCTGCCAGCACCGAGGGAGGGGCTAGGCTGAGCAAGCCCCACTGTACTCAAGAACATCAAGGATGGATTTAAGGCACGTAAAAGAGTCGTCGTCTCCGGAATCCTGTTGGCATCACCAACTCAGCACAATGACATGACGAGAGCCTGGCAGCCATGTGTGTTGTGCCCACCCCCAGGACTGTATCCTGCCCTCCACCGAGAACACATCCAGACAAGCCACCCTCACTCTGAGGCTGCCTTGTCCAACCCTCACCCGCTTCACGGACAGAAAATCGACGCCCAGAGCCGCCGGGAAAGCTGCTCCTCCTGCTTCGAGCCAGCAGCATCCTCACGTCCACGGCGGAGACCCACTTCTGCTTGTGTGCCCTAAGGCACAGGGACTCGGGTCAGACGGGAAAGGTACGCACCTGAGGACAGCACGTGGGAGGGGATCTGCACATGGGGGCTGAGCCCCAGGAAGTTGCACCGGTAGGCCTCCTCATACTGGTCGCTGTAAGGGATGATGCGGACGCAGCCCACCGGCAGCATAGTCTAGAGAGGACCCAGTGACTCAGGCTGACACCAGCTGGAATGTCCCCCGCCACTGCCTGTCTCCATCACCCACACCCCAAGCGCCCTCTGCAGCTCAGTGCCAAGCCTCTCTCCTCCCAGAAGGCATTCCTGGTCACACAGCCCCACTGGGGTGTCTCCCACACGGCCCCGACTCCTATTCCGGCAATCAGTCATACAGGACTTATGCTACCTCTTGCTTTGCGGTATTAATCTATCGATCTTCGGTTTCTGTCTCTTCCCTCATCCCACAAAAACATTTTAAGCTTTCTGACAGATTGTGTCACAATCATCTTGTGCCCTCAAAGGCCTAGCAAGATGTGAGGCATGCACCAGGTTTCTGATGACTTAAATATCATCAGAGTCAGACCTACGCCTTGGCGCCCTCTGCGCCACTGGGGCACAGACAGCATGGTAGACCTGCATCCCATCTGACTCATTGGGAATGTTCTGTGCCCAGGAACATGTGGTGACCCAGACCTGCTTCTCTGGTAGCTGTGAACCATGCCCGTGACTTCTTGGAGGGATTTGGGGATGGGGTATAAGGTAGTCAGTTATCAATCTATCAGGGTAGCACAGACTCCTTCCACTGGAAAGAACCACCATTGATGGCTGCCATTTTACACAGTGGAGAAAACAACACATATCTTAGATTCAGGCACAAACCTTTACACTGAGCCATTAATGCCTCTTAACATTCACACCCAAAGTCAGGATTTAAAAAAATAACCCACTAGACAAACCCGGTCCTGCTACAAAATACTTAAGAGAAAAAATCCTCTTACCCGAAGAACTTCAAAAGCTGACTGGACAAGGTCTGCGTCTCTGCTTTTCCAGATCACTTGATTCCCCATGAGAACATGCCAGGCCAACATGCGAAAAGATGGGGCACCCAGGACCTGAAAGATATAGTTCAGGGTTTTCTCTGTGAATTTTCTTCCATGCACCTCAAGTTATTTGTGTGCTCTCTGGACAGGGAAGGGAGATGGGTCAAGAGAGAAGAGCTGGTAACTAGCCTGCAGCCGGGAAGATGCAGCAGGAAGCCTCTGGATTTGCACCTGAAAGCCTAACCGCAAAGCCCTTGCACACTTTGAGATCTTTTCTCCAATTTTATTTTTAAACACTTGAGGCAGAGAATTGCAATATTCACTTTCTCTCTATATATACTCTATTTTGCTGAACCATTTGAAAGTAAGGGACAGGCATGACACTTGAGCACCCAGAAAGGACAGGGCTCTCCGACACAACCCAGTACACACCACACCCAGAAGCCCCACATGCATGTGCCACCAACCCAGTATCTGGATCCCCAAACCTCTAACAATATCCTCTATAGCTGCTATTCTTTCAATCCAGGATTTACTTAAGGATCACGACTGTTTTATTTATTCTACTATCTTTATCCTACTTTAGCCAGAACAGTCCCTCTCTCCACCCGACTTTTTGTAACTTCCCTGATACTGGCATTTTAGGAGAATTCAGCCTGTTATCCTATGGCTTATGAGCATGGCTTTAAAAAATAAAAAGGGAGGCTAGAAATACTACAGATTTTAGAAGACTCTTATAGCTTCAAAAAATACTCCCACTTCCCATGGAATTTAAGATTCCTTCCAACTTTAAACTACATGAGCAATCGACAAGGATGATTTTAGCCAAATACATGGTTTTGATGGGTGACTGTTCCTCATCCAGCCCCACGGAGCATCTGCCATTAAATCAGTCCTTACTCCATTTTCCAAAACAGAAATATCTTTTGATAAAACTCACGCTCACTGTAAAAACAGCCACAGAAAAGTATAAAAAGGGACTGTCCTTACAATCTTGTGACCTCTTCCTCCTGTATGACCAAATATAACCATGGTCAATAGTGTTGCGTGAGACTCCGTCTCTGCTACCGCATATAAACACACCTACCACCCTGCACAATACACTGCTTGCTCTCTTCTTTGTGTTTAATGACATCCCAACATTTGGATGCAATTCCTTTGGTTGGACATCTGGGTTCTTTCCAATTTTTTGTAAGAAGGGCCATCATTTCTACTTTACAAAGCGTCTAGGCTGCAGGCAAATCAATAGTGACGTTCACTTCCTTTAAAAGGTTCCAGAATGACACGATGAGAGAACCGTGAGAAAGCCAACCACGCAGGTCTTTCTTTAAAACAGACACGCACGTCATCACTAAAAGGGGAGCACACATCCTGTGGCTAAGAAACCCCAGACGGCCACTGCCGTCTTCAGCCAGCCATCAAGGATTTTTTTGGTTACTCCTAACCGACACTCCGGCCGGCTCTCGAACTCGACGGGCCAGAAGGACAAAGCGTGCTGGATGAGGGGGCTGGGCTCTTCTCTAGAGCTTCTGAGTGGGGGTGTGCTTTTCTGCCGCCTACCTGCCTCATGTGCCGAAGGGACTTAAAGACAGACAGCTTTCGGGGCTGCCAGTTTCCACAGTCTGAGAGCAAGGAAGACTCTGCTCGGCATTTGGTCAGCTCCCGCCCTTCTGCACCGTCTGGCACGACAGGGGCTTTCTCCTCCTCTTCCGCCTCAGAGTTGTCCCAGCTTTCTGATTCCTCTTCTAAGTCTGCAAGGCGGACGACACAGACATTTATGAACATGCTGCCCCTGGATCCCTTCATTCCCTGGATGCAAAAGGGTAGTGTCCGCTTTAGCACAAGGCATCTCCCGATTTCTGGTTTGGGCCAGCTTTCATACATCTTGTTCTCGGAGCCCCGGGGTGAGCAGGGAGGGTTGGTCTGCTTACTTATTTAGTTAGCTCAAAGCCTCACGTTGCATTAGGAAGCAGGCACCTGCAAGACTAGGAGCTGCTCACGGTCATGGAAAAATGCAATGCTGAGCAAGCTGACAGCTCATTCACTGAACACTTCCCCAGGCAGGTGTTATACTGGGGGTGGCCACACGCTATTCCTCTTCATCCTTCCAAGTGTCCTGAGGTCAGTGCTATTCTCATTTTACAGATAAAGAAATACTTGTTATTTCCATTAATCTGTGTGACAACTGTCACAAATGAGGACATCTTCATTCCGTGTTCCGAGTGAGACCTGCAGGGAAGAGGCCTGATCTGTGCACACAGAACACGGCAGGAGCAGAGCCAGGATCTGGCCCCAGGTCTGTCCAAATCCAAGTGTGTGCTCGGAGCTAAACTACAGTCCAAGACATGACAGAGAGCCCCGTGTGCCTGCATGTCTATCCTTCCTACAAGCTCGGATGGACTTGCTTGGCTCTCTGTGTAAATACTCTCACCAACAGACTACCCTTGCCATCTTCACTAGCCTCGAAATTTCTAATTTCTAATCAGAGTAGCAAATGGTTCTGGGCCCGACTTGATCCACGAGGACACGAAGGCGGACAGAACGGCTTTGTTTTTCAGAGCTTGCCCTGCTCCTGATACTCTACCCCCTTCTCCCACTCAGGAAAGAAGCATGTTGGAATCCAAGTGCGTGCGAAGTCACCTGACTAGGAAGAACCAGCTCCGATTCATTAAGGTCCATTACACGCAACCTGAAGCACGTCAAGTGTTACTGGTAACACATCACACACGACATACGTCACAAGTCTGGTTTACCCAACCCCGAAGCTGAGGCCGTGGACCTAGATCACCAAGAATCAAATCACCTCCGAGGGAAAAGCACGGCCCGGATTGAGACCAGAGCTTCCTGTGCTGGTGCACAGCGCACCAGAATCACCTGGGGAGTTACTTAAAACCCCCAGGACCCTGAGCCCCAGATCTGGTCACGAACTTGGGGAGGACTGCCCAGACATTGGAAAGGCTTGGGAACCATCCTTGACAGAAACCTTGGGTCTAGCTGAAGCATAACATTTTGTCATTAAAGAACAAAGAATGAGAGACTGTCTAGAGAGACCAAGCACCTGGATATTGTAAAACAGGGACAAGAAAACCTTTAATCAATCCGTCCTCTCCACCCTCGAACAACCCCAACTAGCAGATTTTCCCAACCTGCCCAGAGCAGTAGATTCTTTCATAGGACTGTCAAAAAGGAGACAGGAAATCACGATAAAAACACCCAAGAATAAAGGGCAAGCCCTTGCAGATACTCCCCCCGGTTTCCCATCCTTGGGTCCCCTTCATGAGGACGGAGGAGGGCCTGGAGGCTATGACGTGGCCCCCGCCAGCCACCACAGGCAAGGCCTCCAGCACGGGCTCTCCCGGCTCACCCGCAAGCTTCTCCATCTGGACCAAGGTGTCCTCCGTGGGGGCGCCCTCCAGGAGCTTCTCAGTCAGCCGGCTGCCGCACGCTTTCAGGAGCCTGGAGAACAAAGCACCGTCTGTGAAGCGTTCTTGCCAGAAGAAAAACGGAACCTGAAGCCAGGCAAGCCTTTTGATCTGGCTACTAGTTTACAGAGAATATGGGATAAAAGATCACACTGCAGTTACATTGAGCCAAATCCAAAACAAGAATTCTGCAGGACAAGTGACCCAGGTCCTCCAACAAAAGGCACGGGAGAGTCGGTGGCGGAGGCACAGAGAACAATGTGCAAGTGGAGGGGTGACCCGACCCCACTTCAACGGTCAGTTCTGAGGCAAAACAGAAAAACTGAACATGGATTGGGCTGGATGATACGATGGAATTTGTCAGTTTTGCTGGATAATGGCTCTATGTTTGAAATGATACAACTAAAACGTGCTTTAAGAAAAAACTCCGGGGGCGCCTGGGTGGCTCAGTCAGTTAAGCATCCGACTTCGGCTCAGGTCATGATCTCGCGGTCCGTGGGTTCGAGCCCCGCGTCAGGCTCTGTGCTGACTGCTCAGAGCCTGGAGCCTGTTTCAGATTCTGTGTCTCCCTCTCTCTCTGACCCTCCCCCATTCATGCTGTCTCTCCCTGTCTCAAAAACAAATAAACGTTAAAAGAAAAAAAATTAAAAAAAAAAACAAAAAACAAAAAGAAAACACTCCAGAAAAAAGTGAGGAGACAGAAACAGCAGTAAAATGTTGGTAACTACTACAGCTGGATGATGAGGGTGTGCAGTCCATTAGACTATTTATTCTATTTTGGGTCTGTCTGAAAACCTCCCTAAATGACGGTACATTGGGTGGGGGAGACAGATACTTTCTCTTGACGTCACAGGTCCTCAGGGGCCACCCTCAAAGATCTTCGTTCTAGGTGCCTCATCTGTACCTGGGCCTGATTTCGACGACGAGGCCCCCCCCCCCCCCCACACACACACCTGGGGCCGCTGCTGCACAAAAACGAGAGTTTGGGAGTTTTCATGAGAACATCTTACAATGGAAGGAAGAGAAGTGATCTGAGGCCAGAGGCCAGACTATGGTGGTTTTCAAAGGCAATCCTTTCCTCCTGACTTGACAGGTGTTAGCAAATGGCACACTCCTCACAAACAACAGGTGCTTGCTGTGACCACGCCCACAGCACCACCAGCTTGCCAGATGACTGCAGACCCAACCGATAAACTCCTGAGAACCTGAGCCAGAACCACTCAGCTAAGCCACTCCCGAATTCCTGACCCACAGAGCTGTGTGAGAGAAACGTTTATTGTTGTAGACAAAAAAGGGAGGTGATCACTGCTCTTGGTATGGGAGCATCATTTTAAACATATCACAGGGAGGGGCGTCTGGGTGGTTCAGCCAGTTAAGCATCTAACTCTTGGTTTCGGCTCAGGTCATGATCTCAAGGTTCATGAGTTTGAGCCCTGAGCAGGGCTCTGCACTGATAGTGTGGAGTCTGCTTGACATTCTCTGTCTCTGCCCCTCCCCTGCTCATGCTCTCTGTCTCTCTCTCTCTTAAACATTAATTAAAAAACCAGATAAATAGGGGCACCTGGGCTCAGTCGATTAAGCATCCGACTTCAGCTCAGGTCATGATCCCACGGTTCGTGGGTTTGAGTCCCATGTTGGGCTCTGTGCTGACAGCTTGGAGCCTGGAGCCTGCATCAGATTCTGTGTCTCCCTCTCTGCCCCTCCCCCGCTCACTCTTTGTCTCTCAAAAATAAACACTGAAAAAAAAATTTTTTTTTTTAAATAATAAACCAACAGACCACAGGGAAGTGAGTGCCACCTAAGTCAATCTTCCACACACTCAGGGGGAGACGCCTGGAGGGAAAGGAGGACCGTAGCCCGGGTCGGTGCCTGCCAACAAGTACACAGCAGAGAGGCACTGAGGGGAACTCATCCAACAACCTTTCTCCCCAGATTCATGCATAACCCAACCACTATACCGTGACTGTACCCATTCTAACTGGTGCTAAAAGACCTGAAAATCTCCTTACCAAGCAAAGGACGTGTGCAGGCACGCCCACAAGTTGTCATCGCTTGTCAAGGAGGTCAGCGAACGAGCGGCATTACCATTCCTTTGGTGCAGGAATGGTGTAAAGGCCGTGTTCATCCTCTGGGCACGCTGTGGGCATCCGAACTGCTCTGCTTCAAATACCTGAAATGAAAAGGGAAGGGTTAGTCTTTTTTTTTTTTTTTTTAATGTTTACTTTTGAGAGAGAGAGAGAATGTGAGAGGGGGAGAGGCAAAGACAGAGGGAGACACAAAATCTGAAGCAGGCTCCAGGCCCCGAGCTGTCAGCACAGAGCCCAACACAGGGCTCGAACTCACAGACTGTGAGATCATGACCTGAGCCAAAGTCGGACGCTGATTCGAATGAGCCACCCACACGCCCTGAGAAGAGGTAGCCTTTTAACCAAACCAAACCAGCCAAGAAACCCAGAGCCAGCTCATTCACAGCCAACATCCCGGATCCTGCTCCTGAAAACTCAGTCCCCCTCTGAAGGGCACAGAAAGTGCCGCCAGCCTCACAATTCCAAACAGGATGGTTTTGCTTCGCATCTTGATTAGAAGCCACCCGAGGAAGAGGAATGGGGTAAGTGCCCTCCTGTCCCTCTCCCACAACCCGCTCATTAGGCACTTGACAGTACTCGGGTGGCACGTGTGGGGGTGGTCATCAGTGTTCCTCTGCAAGTATTTCCAGTCCCAGGCCCACGGAGGCTTCCACGGAGGGACCCGGTGGGGGGGGGGGGGGGGGGACACGTGCCCAGTTCTGGCAATGACGGAGAGAGACAAGGCCCTCCAGCACCGTCTACCCCTCCAGCGGAGAAACGAGCAACATTCCCCTTTGGCTGTGGCTCCGCCTGCTGGGCTGACTGCAGTAAGCAGATCCCCCCACTTCCCTGCCATGGACACAGAACATGAACAAAAACCAAACTGTGGCTTTGAGCCACCGAGCTCCGGGGGCTGTCTGTTACCACAGCATGACCCAGCCTATCCCGAGAGACGTGATGCCACAGCTAGAGGCCTACGCTGGTGGTGGGTCCACAACACGATTAATGGACAGGCTTCGGAAATGAAGGTCAGAGGAAGCACAGGCACCAGGGAGACACCAGGGCATTCGACCGCAGTAAAGAAGCCAGAGCTGGAGGAGAACTGGGACAACAGCGGACTCCAGAGAGCCCAGTAAAGCAAGCAGGACTGACGGTGAGGCTCATCACCAGCCCTGAGTCTGAAGGCAGAAGATTCAGACAGAACAACAGCCACCCGTGCTCTGACCACCCCCCCCGTCGGCGTGAAGATCCTCCCCCACTGCCACCCACTCTTTCTGTGGGGTCACCTTGAGTGCTTTGCCCTGAAGTTCGTCAATGATCCCTCGGATCTTTCCAAGCAGGAAGGGCCAGGAGTTGATGAGGTAAATCCGGTCCATCATGATGGCGATGATGCTGTACCAGCGCTGGAAGCCCCGGGCCAGGCTGTCTTTGATGAAGAAAGTGTGGCTAAACACAAAACCATGCTGCTCATCTCCAAAGAAGATGGGGCCTTCACGGCCAGGGCAGACCTGTGAAAATCAGCAGTCATTCCAGGACACAGTCCTGTGCTGGCTTTGGTGACACAAAGTCAAATCCTCCTCCTCAGACTTATCTCTCTGGCCTAATTAACTAGCATCTGTCATAGGAAGAGTGGGAAAGGTGGGGGCCAAGACAGGAAAACTGCTTTCATCTGCTCCTGGGATCAGACTGTCTAAAGATCACATTCGTTATCATGGATTGCAAGGGCAAGTAGGTTCATGACTTTTGTCTACCTTGCGCCATAAATAACTCCTATTCAAATATTGTAAATACTCCAGACTCAAATTTGCCATTGTCACTCATCTGGAATACACTGGAGAAGGTCAAAAGAGTCACCGTAGGGTCCATCCAATGAAATCTGCATACTTCGTTTATAGGAGAAAAGTTAGGTCTCCCTCATGACATACTCACTCTTACTTTATACACAATTCTATCTGGCACAATCATCTGCTTCTCGCAGATTAGCCAACAGGAAATCACAAAGAGGGAACGAGCTGCAGGTAGGCACACAGCGACCGTAAGTGAAAACAGAGAGGCGCTCAGTGTGTCTGCTCAAGTCAGTATGGAAAAGGGAAATTTTACCACTGGGATTATGAATTCGTGACAGGTACAAACATAGACTAAGAACTTGAAATCAAAAGACCTGAACTAAGACTTGAAATCAAAACAGCAGCGGGGTATAGCTAAGGAACAAACTGATTTACCCTTCAGCAGGTTCTAAGAGCACACGGTGACCACTGAGGCTCGTAATCATGACAGAGACGATAAAAAAGTGGTATCTGATATGGTAAATGAAATATCCTAGAAATACTTAATATCTTAGAAATATATTCACCAAGAATGAACAGATAACAGAAGTCTGTTGCTTGAAATTATAAGCTAGCAACCATTTAGAAAACTGGAGTCCAACCCAACCTATTCTGGCGTTCTAGAGACCTGGGGCTGCTCTGTGCTCCTACTCACGGATCCACGTCCTCTTCAGGGCAGGACTCTGTCTTCCTCATCGTAACCAGTACTGAACTTGTTCGGGGCACCTTGGATGTGTGTGATATCCCCAGAGTGCCCCCTGGGGTCATGGTGCTCACCTCACAGCTCAAGCTCCGCACACAGGCCTGGCGAACAATGCTGAAGAGCTGGGGGTGGTTGGGGTGCTGGTGACTGACATATTTAATCGAGGTCTCTTTATCATGGCTGATATACCCAGGATGGCCTGCAGCAAGTGACCGGCAGCCCTGCCCCCCAGAAGGAAAAGAGAAGCAATTAGGAAGCAGGTAACAAACTTTCTTGTGTACATGGGAACAAAAGACTCCATCGATTTTCATATAAAAATAACTGGCTCCTAGAGTACTTATCTGAAGATCTCAAATGTTTCCTGAATAGGAAAACCAGGACAGAGCGATCACAACGATCATCAAGAGTGTGAATAAGAGGTCTAATCTGAGCACTTACGTAGCAGGTATTATGAAGAGCTCTGCATACATTACCTCATATAATCCAAAGCGCAACCCTATGAGATAATTACGGTGAGAATCCCCATTTTACAGAAGGCAAAGCTGAGGCTCGGGGCTGCAAAGTGGCTCACATACTATGTGCCAGCCTCTGTCCTTGGTCCTGACATAGCCACTTAGTGAGGGCCTCAGGAGGTTGCCAGACTTCCAAGCTGCTGCAGCAGCCTGAGAACACAAGCTCAGATCGTGTGCTGTGGAGCAGATCGACTGGTGGCCCCAGCTGCTGCCCCTCCGGAGCCACCACCACCTTGGTGCCGAGATCACGCATCCCGGAGGCTCTCCCCACCCTGAGACTGCACAAGAGGGTATGGAGGCAAGCCCCTCCCGTGAGATGCAGGACATGGCAATTCCAGCTCAAGGACACTGTCTGCCCAGCCCTCCTCTTTCCTTCCTCCTTCTTCACAGCTGTCAGACTTGTTCACCGCAGCGAGGCTCTCCCCACCTTCTGCTTCCTCACGGGTGTTTCCGGCAATAAACACAGCAATCCTGGGCATGCTACCTGCTTCGCAGTGGAATCAAGCTCATGCAGTTGGATTCCTGTTCACACTGCAGTGACAGGTCTAACACTGCCTCTGATTTCAGGTCCCGACCTAGAGCTGTCACTCAAAGCAGCAGCCTGTTGAGGGAACTTAAACCTCTCATTCCCCAGAGCTCACAAAATGACACCAGAAGTAACAGCCAGGACCCCACGAGAAAACTTCCAGAGAATACTGGACTAAAGGAAGCGGAGCCTACGATGGGCTGGCATGCAGACATGAGCAGCAGAGGGGAGGGCTGAAAAAGCAAACGCTGGGGTGAAGGGAAAGAACTAAAAGGACATGGGAAGAAGCAAGCATATTCCACAGGGCCCACAAAGAACGGTCCGTGCTCACACCTTTCCGTGAGGTCACGTCCACTGCTCTTAGTCCCACAGGGTGTCCTGCCCACTCTCCAGGAGGTCAAATACACAGCATGAGTCCCTGTTGAGAAAGAAACGTCTCCAACACCCTGAGAGACACTTGCCTCGCACATGTCTGACTTTTTGGGCCCCGGGCTGCTGGACTCAGCGCTGGCCCCTTCCGCCGGGCTGTGAGCGCGGATCCGACTACTCATCTGAATGCCACCTTCCTCCTCCTCGGCCTGTTCGCCCTGCCCAGGGCTGTCCCCATTCCCAGCCCCCTGAGGAAGTGGGGCGTGCAGAACTTCGGTGCAAAAGAGAGTGCGGGGGCCGTGGAGCTCACAGAAGTGACAGAGAGCGACGATGGCGTTCATGGTGTCCTGGAGACAGAAGGGGGCCTGTGTGTATGGGGGGTGGGGAAGAGAGGAAACAACATCAGTGCCCAGCCTGTGTTCACACTACAGAACCTGCCAACTCCTCTGGGGCAAGCACAGGCACTGGGGAGACGCCACCGACAGGCTTCCTGGCCAGCAGAGGTGGGTCACCCACCCAGCACTGTGTCAGGTGTATGGGAAAAACCACGTCTTCGCTCCGTGCTGACCAGGAGTCACAACAGAGGAAGGAGGATGTAATTCAAGGATCACACAGAAAACCCTTCGTTACAGCTTGTGACAGGGCTACAGAGTAGACAGCACGGAAGAGAACACATGTGCGAGTGACGATGGGGCAAACGTGACACAAATAAGTAACAGTGGGGTTTGGAGGAGACACTTTTTCAATGTATTCAACCAATAGCAGTTGTGCTGGGTGATAGGCCACCGCCCTCACGGAGCTTACCCTTAGGAGGGAAGGGACACACGACAGACTGCTTCCTCTCCTACGGTGCCAGCCTTGGGAAGGAAAGTAAGGCAAGGCCAGGGCAGAGAAGTGCTGGAGAGGTGGGATGCGGTTTTGGACACAAGGGCTCGCTGAGTGAGAGCTGAAGGGAGCCGTGGCGGCGGAGGGGGCAGGACTAGGGGTCTGTCTACCGAGATGGGTGACGAAGGCAGAAGATGAGGAGGAGGTGGATTTTAGGAAGCCTTCTAGGCCTTAGTAAAGACTGGAATTATCTACAGATTGGAGAGCCTTTGACAGGTTCTGATGAAAAACATGGTAAAGGAGCATAGTGGCCAGTGGCCAGGATCTAAACCCTCTTCTCTTTGGGGACCCCCTCCCCCATCACGGAGCCGAAGAAGGCGAGACATCCTCCGTCCTCATCCCCCCGCATGGACATGACCAAGGCTTGGCCAGTCAGAGGCACCTGCCCAGGAAGCTGAACCCAGGGAGACAAAGTGGCAGACCCAGTGCGAACACGCATGGGGGGCGGTGAGCAAGTCCTGGGTGACAGGGTCCTCAAAACCCCACGTGGTGTGTCCGTCACTACGTCCTCCCAGCAGCCTCCCTTCTCCAGCCAGCTCGCTTACTCTGCCACCCAGCTGGCATCTCGCAGACCATCTCTCAGCTGCCATGACTACTACTGCCCCTGCCCTGCCCCTGTCCCTGAGGGAGGGGCTGGAGCTCGAATGTTACAGTGGGAATGGCAGAGGCCAACACAAAACAGAAACTGGAGAGAAGATCAGCTGGGCTGATGTGAGTCAGGCATGGGGATCAGACGGGGATTACGTGCCTGGCACGTAGGGAGAGCTGGGGCACCTCCCAGAGGGAAGTGGCAGTGGGAGAGGAGACATGGTTAGAGAGACAGCAGGACATGTAGCTGGAAAACCCTGAGAGCTGCGTGGAGATTCCAGACCGCGCTATCAGGGAGCCCCGAGCCACTCCACAGACCTCTACCCGACTCCCCATCCTCACCATTTCGTTCTGCCTGGCACGTTCCTGCTGAGAGGCCTCCCGAACCAGCACCCCAGAACACTCGCTCACTCCCACCGCCTCACTCTCCCCTCCTCTGCACTGTGCTTCCCTGTACAAACATTCCCTAAGTGGCGACAGGAGTCAGCCTGAGGTTGTATCTACAACAGTTCCTGACACGCACAGTAGGCGCCACATTAAAATACTGGACAGGGGATTTGGGAGCTGCCCGTAACAAGGGGGCAGTTGCTGCCACAGGAAGTGGAGAACTCACTGAGGATCTCTATGGGCAGGAGAGGTTCAAGAGCACAACCATGGGAACAGCAGTCTGAGAGCCTAGTGGCACGAGACCCAAGTAAGCCAAATGTAAATAGGGGTTCCACCAGGCTCATTCTGGTGAGATTAAGGAAATGATGGTTTAAGAATCCATTGTGAAAGGGGTGGTGAGGTGACCACTGATGGAGTAAGAACCTCAGAAAATTAGTACTAAGACCCAAAGGCAGAGGCATTAACCCTGGAAAAAGAGGCCACATCTTCCTTGAGAGACATAAAAGGGAAGAGAAAGAAGTTTCCTTCCAGCAAAACATTCGCATGAAAGCAGCACTTGGCTAAGCTTCACCCGACGTGTAGAGCATCCACACGAACCTTTACACTCGGCAAAGTCACACGTCCACCGTCCCGCCTACACAACAGCGTGCAAGGCCATTTCCAGATGAGTCAGGCAGGGAGGCCATACTTCAGCTCTAAGACCTGACGTTTCCTAGTGAAGAAAAAAAAAAAAACAAAAACTAGAGTGAATTCTAAGAGCAACTGACTTAGTGATACACAAAAAGCAAGCAGTTACCACCGACTTAAAATCAGAACATCACATGGGGCGCCTGGGTGGCGCAGTCGGTTAAGCGTCCGACTTCAGCCAGGTCACGATCTCGCGGTCCGTGAGTTCGAGCCCCGCGTCGGGCTCTGGGCTGATGGCTCGGAGCCTGGAGCCTGTTTCCGATTCTGTGTCTCCCTCTCTCTCTGCCCCTCCCCCGTTCATGCTCTGTCTCTCTCTGTCCCAAAAATAAATAAAAAACATTGAAAAAAAAATTAAAAAAAAAAAAAAATCAGAACATCACAGAAGAAGACGTGGGGCTGCCCACGGCTCTGAATGGCTTCGCGGGCCTCTTGCCTTTTGAGCAGCAGCGGACAGCAAGCTGGGTTTGCAGCCAAAATGTGAGCTGAACTTTTACACCTCTACAGGAATGTTTCGTAAAGGATTTCTTTAGATAGAAATATGTCTTTTTAAAAATACAAAATATTTAAAAATATAAGGTCATCATCCTTCCTACCCTTGGTTACAAGGGGACTGCCTTGGCAGCACCCACACCATGCCAATTCAACCCTTCAGACCTTAGACCTACAAGTTTCTCTCTTCCTCGAATGGAAAGGAAAGATCAGAGATGATGTTGCTAAGCTACTTCCCAGCACCCATGGTCAGCCTGGGTGATTCTCACTAATAGCTTTTTGGTTTTGCTTTGGTGTTTATTTTGTTTTTATTTTTTAATGTTTATTTTTAAGAAAGAGATAGAGTCAAGCGGGGGGAGGAGGGGGCAGAGAGAGAGGGAGACACAGAAACTGAAACAGGCTCCAGGCTCTGAGCTGTCAGCACAGAGCCCGACGCAGGGCTCGAACTCACGAACCGTGAGATCAAGACCTGAGCTGAAATCAGGCGCTTGACGGACAGAGCCACCCAGGCACCCCCTTGTTTTGTTTTTTTTTTTAAAGAAAAGCAGTCCTGTCGGACAAGAGGACAAGACTTCTGACTCTTCCGATCAGGAGTACTATGGTGCCAGGCAGCCAGTGGAAGACAGGGAGGTACCACTTGGCTCTGAAGTCACACAGAAAAAGCCTGTCTCCAGCTCTTACCTGCCAGGTGATGTCCAATATCTTATTTATCCTCATCTGGCACCACCCTAAAGCTGAGAAACAGAGGAACCCCCACCTCTCAGGTTAACCACTGCACGCGGCAGCAGAATTCTGAGTAGCAGGAGATCAGTTCTCTATTCATTCTCCAATTCCAATCTCATCAGATGTTTACTGAAGAAAACAAACTGGCTTGAGTACGCCTAACAGTTCTTCGCTTCCAGCGAGCCTTCCGGAATCCAAGGAGGCAGAAATCTGCACACGCGCTCACACCCCACCCTGGCCAAATCTCTTCGACTTTATATTCCAAGAAAGAATCCAAACAACTGGAGGAGGCAGGGCCCTTCCCACGGCCCCCCTCCCCCAGTGGCTGAGGCTGGCCCTGGGCCTATTTCATCCCCACTTTCTGTGGTCTTCTCATAGGACCACAGAGGATCACAGAGGGCTTTGCAAAGAAATCCAGTATCATAGTAGCTCTTAGCCAGTAATGACCATCAGAATCCCCTGCGGCTTCTCCACCTAGTCTCCCACAGGGGAGTCTCACTAGGTCAGCAGCTGGATCTCGGCAGGTGCAAACTGAAAAGTCCCACAGGGGATTACTTCCAGCTCCAGCGCAGTCACACCATGGTGGCTTTCCTATTCCCACTGCCTTCACCTGGTTTTTGGTTTACGAAGTGTCCTGATGTGTGACACCAGTAGGGCACACACAGTCACCTGCCGCTATTTCCCAATCTCTTCCTAACAATGTTGGTAACCCAATGCCTCCAGCACTTTCTCTGCTGTGACACGGAGCCCCAGGGCCACTCTGGCGGGACACCACGGGCTGGAGAACCAGTACCTCCTTTCAGCGAACCCTTGCCCTCTGCCTCCAATAGCTGGGACCTCAACCCACAATGAGCCAATTCTTGGGGAAACATTTTTCCCAGGTGATAAGGGCGCATCTAACAATACCCACCAAACTGGAGGGAAATGTGCTCTTCTACCATCCTTCTAGGCCTATCGGCTCATCAGAGTGCCCGCCTCAGAACGCCAGCCTGAGGAAAAAAGAATTTTGACACACCCTCTTCCCTAAACCAGAAGGCAGGCAAAACCCGGGTGGGAGGGATGCCAAGAGTGCAGTCTCCCGGCAGCATCTCTAACGTTGGAGAATAAACCGACGACGCTGATGGGGTCTGCACCCATGTCACGTTCCCCATCTCTTTACGGTTCGTGGATTTGCCCCGCACCCCACCCCGCCCCGCCTCCATCCCCACATCTCAGGTTCTCTGCAACCCCTTCCGCTCTGGCCCCCCGCCACTCCGATCACTAACACCGCACAGCAACTCAGAGCCCGGCTGGGTCCCCGCAGCTAACCCGAAGGCGGTCAGGCTTCTCCAAGGCCCACAGGCGCGGACCCATTCCCCTTCCCCGCCCCCAGGGACTCCCTCCCGCCGCCACCACCCTCCTCCCGGAAGCCAGGCTCCCTTCAAGTTCCACGAAGCAGCCCCGACAGCCCCTCTTCGAACTGCCTGGACAAGCCAGGGGACCGCTCCGGGGCTCGCTCCCGCAAGGGCAGTCGGGGCCGGGGTCGCCCCGGGGGCCGCGGCGGGGCTGAATTCCAGGGGGCGGAGAGAGCTCCGAGCCCAGCTCCGGCGCCCGGGCCGCGGCGCACCTGACGGCGTCTTCCTCACAGGACCCGCCCTCCGCCCCTGCTCGAGCTCGTCGGCCCGCGGGGACACCCACCCGTCCCCGCGCCTCCCGGCCGGCAGGGGAAGCCTCGGTTCGGACCCCGGCCGCCTCACTCACCAGCGGCCGCTGCAGCCGCGGCGCCCAGCCCGAGGCGCGTGACTCGGCCGGGCCGGACCATCCGCCCACCCCCGCGGGGGGGGGGGGGTGTGTGCGGGCCGGCCGAGGGCGCCTCTGCACCGCGACGCGAGCGGGGCCTTACCCAGCCCGCACCCTCGGGAAGACCGCGCGAGCCCGGCCACGCGCGCTCTGACCTGAACCCGAAGCGGCTGCCGGACACCCCCGTCTTTCGCCGCCAGGCTTCCGCGCCTCCCCCCCACCGAGAAGTGCGGAATGGTTTCAGCCGCGCCGGCCCGGCGAATGGAGGAAACTACGGGGGGAGGGAGGGGAGGATGCTTAAAATTAAAAAACATTTTCAACAGAGATTTGAGGAAAAATATAGCCAGCTTAGTATAGTACTCCCGGTCCACACCGAAGAGAAAATGAAAGAGAATGGCTGACGTTAGAGCGGGGTAATGTCTTATAGTGTCACCTGCGGCTTTTATTAAATTGTCGACGGACCCCGTCTTCGGTGGGACGTGCGGGCAGGTGGCCGGGAGGTGGCCGTCACATGACCGTGGGCAAGCGCGCGACGCTGTGCTGTGGCCGGTTCGGTAACTGGAGGTGGGGTGCGGCTTGAGTGCGCATGTGCGTGACCCACTCACCTACCCGAACTATAATCCATCCAGGCTTTTTAAAAAATATGAGTCAATTATTAAGCAATATATATCTTTAAGACCGACCCGGGTGCCTGTTATTGAGTCTGTCTACTCAAAGATTAATTTTAAGGCCATCAGTGCAAGGTGTCACATCGGTCCTTAAAGTGAAGAGCTAGAGGGATGTGAATCACACCCTGAACCGCAGGAAATTCGGTTTGACCTACGAGATGGTGCTGCCACCTTGTGTCCGGGCCGGTCCAGAGACCGCCGACCTCTCTGGGCGCCTTATGGCGGAATCCTGGTCCTTGTGACTGCCGCCGGGGGTGTCCAGAGGGCGGTTGTCTCAAGTGTTGGGGAAAAAGCATGAACCATTTTGAAGTAGAAGTAGGTGGTTGTGTTATTTCAAGTAGCCGGGTCATTTCTTTCTCTCTCTGAATTTCCATGTTAGAAGACAGAGACAAAATTACAATTTGTTTTCTGTCTTCTTTTAGTGGTGTGATAAAAGATGAAGGACTATGGGAGTTACGAGGTTAGGCATTGCCTTTATATGTTTACTTCTCCTACCGCTCCAGTTCCTCTTGATACTGAACAGCACAAACTGAATATATTGGCTAGTAAGTCACAAGATAATTTTTGAGGGAAATAACAGAAAACCCACAAGGATATACTGATTTGGAATTCTGTTTTTTTATTTTTGCCATCAACAATTCAGATACTTGAGGAGTGCCTGGGTGGCTCAGTTGGTAAAGCTTGGAGCCTGCTTTGATTTCTGTCCCCCTTTCTCTGTTCCTCCCCCGCTCACTCTCTCTCTCTCTCTCTCAAAAATAATTAACATATTTTTTTTTTTTTTTAATTCAGGGGTGCCTGGGTGGCTCAGTTGGTTGAGCGGCCGACTTTGGCACAGGTCATGATCTCACAGTTTGTGAGTTCGAGCCCCACATCAGGCTCTGTGCTGACAGCTCGGAGCCTGGAGCCTGCTTGGGATTCTGTGTCTCCTTCTCTCTCTGCCCATCCCCTGCTTGTGCTGTCTCTGTCTCTCAACAATAAATAAATAAATGTAAAAAAAAAATTTTTTTAATTTCAGGTACTTGAATTTTATTGAGTTTGCGGAATTCTTTGAAAGCCTTAGTGGAAAGATGCAAGAAATGTTTGCAGCCACCTCATGTGACTGTGCCTTTCCAATTTCTAAAAGAAAACATCGTTGCCAACATTTGTCAAAGTGAACAGGATTTACCCTGAAAAATTACCATAGCAGCAATGCTAAATACAAATCTGATTAACTGACTTCCACACTATAAGGAAGTAATTTACAATCCTTTCCAAAAATTTCAGTTACCATGACTATTTTTATTTTACAAGATTAATATATTACATATTATATATTATATATATATATTACATCATATATATAAGCTGCTTGCATATTCTATTGTTTCAAGAAAGCCAGGAAAATGCTTTTTTTTTTCCTTTTTTTGGTAATCTTTGGGGTTTTTTCCCATTTTTTCTCTTAGTGGTAGCTATTCTTGAAACTGACATTGGTTAGACAGGTTTTAAGCCAAGAAACAACAAATATCTGTTCCTGTATTGTAACTGATTTGAAGAATTAACTTCCTCGATTTGTTAGTGGAGGACACCACCTAGCTCAGATTATCCTTATTTTCATAATGATAGGCTAATGACTGTGCCAAGTGGAGGACAGTTTATTCAACCACTGCCATTTTCAATGCAATTCAGTGTGCATTCGACTATAGCTGGACTCCATTTGTGTCATTAAGTATCCTTTCCAGAACCATCCCCTACATCTTCTGGAGGTGCTTTCTCAAACCTATAAATCTGTTTAAAAGTAACAACTACATGCCAATTCCTTGCCTCAATGAATTGTGCCAAAGATTAATTAAACTCTGCTGCCACACAGTACAAACTTTCAAGGACATTCAGTTGACAGAGACATCTTGGAAGCCAGAAAATGTAGTCCACATTATCAGTGAGAAAGCAAAGCAGGCAATAATGCCCAACAATGTTCAACGAAATGAAATACCATGCTAAGCTCAAAGCTTCTATCCCATAATAAGAATTTTATGGGGGTGCCTGAGTGGTTCAGTCAGTTAAGGGTCCAACTTTTGATTTTTGGCTCAGGTCATGATTCTGGGGTCATGGGACTGGGCACCACGTCAGGCTCCGCGCTCAGCGGGGAGCTTAAGATTCTCTCTCTCCCTCTGCCCCTCTTCCTGGGTCCTGGCATTTACAGTCCAGAACGTGTTTTCTCACCAGTGAAATGGGCTCAATCAGAACTAAAGATTTTTTGATGCTTTTCTGCCTTCCTACTACTAATCAAAAGGCTTGACTGACTAGGTATTGACCAGCTCATCATCCAGACTGATGGAGTGCTTTAGGGACACAAGTTGCCAAGACCATTGAACCACTGAACCAAGACCACTGAACAAATTCTCACTGTGAAATTCCTCATAGAGGTTTTTAGGTATGCCCTTACCAACATACGGTCTTATATGGCTATACAATACAGTTGGGCTTTATGAGTCAAACCACCATATCCCTGAATCAGTTTTCAGTTTCAGGAAGAAGTGTGTTTCATTTGTAAGCAATTATATCTAATATATATTTTTTTATTTTTTTAACGTTTATTTATTTTTGAGACAGAGAGAGACAGAGCATCAACAGGGGAGGGGCAGAGAGAGAGAGGGAGACACAGAATCAGAGGCAGGCTCCAGGCTCTGAGCCATCAGCCCAGAGCCCGACGCGGGGCTCGAACTCACGGACTGTGAGATCGTGACCCGAGCCGAAGTCGGACGCTTAACCGACTGAGCCACCCAGGCGCCCCATATGTAATATTTTTAATCACATCTCATTATTTTAAGGGTATTACAATAGATTCCCTGTTATAAAAATAATCTAAGCTTTCCTTTCGTCCAACATCTAAAATAACTTTCTGTGTTCTCAGAGGTGTTTAAGTTTGGGGGGCTGTCGAAAGGCTGCAAACAGTGAGTTCTGAAGGTGGAACTCATGCAAAGCCTCTAAGTCAGTTTGAAGTTTTAGGTTATTAGACAATTAACTCTGCGTATAAGGTATCCAGCTAGTTGCAAGAACTATTAATAGTGTAATATTTTCTCTTAAAAAAAAAAAGCCACTAATGTTAATTTAGCATTTTTTTTTAACCATAGCACTTTCAGAAACCTTTTAAGAAACCCTTCCCCTCAGAATTCAACTGATTAGCTTTTTGTGTTTTAACCTAACACTAGCTGCTGGTTAAATATTAAATGCCAAGTGGCTTCTTTATGTCTGATAAACTTTACCAGGTCATTATGGATCCAGGCTTGTTAAATGCCTTTTACAATTAACAGAAATTCTCTTGTCTCAACTTCTGATTTTAGGAAAGGATGCAGATAGGAGTTTGTCTCTGCTTACCATCGTTGATTCAACTGCCTTAAAAGGATACCATTGATTTTTCTTATTCATAAATACCTGATTTGCCATCATTTATTTTCTCTGGGCCCTTCACAACTTCTCAGACTTGTGTGCAAATAATGTTTTCTTCTACAAGTTGGTTACCATTTCAAGTCGCAAACCCAGAAACTCAGAACTTACAAACCCAAACTCTATCTCTGTAAAGCAAGCAGTGGGAGAGAATCAGAATACCATTCTGACCATTGGCATAAACAGAGGAGGGAACTTGAACAAGGTCCACCAATGGACACCAAGGATTCAGCACACCTAAAAACCCAAGACTTAACTTTCC